TAGGACTGCAATACAAGTACAACTATTTGGACTTTGGATGGCTAAAGGGTCATTTGACCTAGTTCTTAAGCAAAATGAGTGAAAGCTTAAGCAAGAGCTGAGCCAATTTCTTTCAGTTTAAGTGTGAAAAACTCTTCACTATGTTGAGCAAAGCCCTCAACCTAATAACATTTAGATTCTTTAATACCAGGGCATCCAGTAGCTATTATCATATTTCTAATTTGATGCAAGCATGATGAGTGGTGACAACCTCACGTGTCCAGAGTTAGATGAAAGACTTATCAATCTGTCATGTGTAACATAGACCAATTTACATAGCAATATGTAGGAATGATATGATCCAAGTTAAAGGTGACTTTAGCCTAAGAGGGTGTGTGGGTTGAGGCTGTGACAACATGCCTTTGTATGGGGACAATTGAAGAAAACTGTTTCCATGGGACTTCGCCACCTGGGCTTGTTAAGTTGAAAACAGATATTTTCATTTTAAGCGTTGTTTTACTAACATATTTTAAGCCAATCTATGACTTTATATAATGAGCTTTGAGGCATAATTTCATATAAGATATCTATGCTGGCCAATCAAGTAATCAATACGTCAGTAGGATATTAAAACCACCAGGAAATAATATCTGATGGTATTCACAAAAAGAGCAGAGACAAACTGGAGTAGCTTGTCTGTTTTGACCAAACTGAACTCAAACAATAATGGCACAAATTCAACCGAACTAGAACCAGGCACAAGCACTGCTTCTTACCTGCTAAGTTAAGCACAAACACGCAATACATTGTGTTAGGTTTTATTTCTTGGCAATCCCGTTTGACAAAACTCCTTTGAGTTGTAATTTTATTCGCATTTTTATTTCAGTGAGGCTATGAGTGTTTAGATGCAAATCCAACCCGAATTGAGCTTTTCAGAGAAGTTTGTGATGCTAATGCTTTCAAGATTGCCACTTCGCTGATTATGACGGGGATCGAGCTGCCCGGTCAGCCCGCGGGGGTCTAGGGGGCAGCGCCCCTTGGCGGTCCGGGACAGCGCCACGGCGGGGTCGAGGGGCAGCGCCCCCGAAGCAAAATGCAAAAATGCATTCCAAGTTGCCTGTCCGCTCGAGCGGAGAATCCCTGGTTCCAGCAGTTTTGGTCGCCTGCAAAAGTACTGAGATGTGTGATTTTGCGCTCGAGCGGGCTTTCTGGAGCTCGAGCGGACCTCTGTTATATTTCGCGCAGATTTTGCTGAGGCCGCTCGAGTGGGCTGTTGGGCGCTCGAGCGGAGATCGCGGGACAGATTCTATAAATTCGCGTGTTGGGTCAGATTTTAGGATAACTTCTCCAGATCTTCTTTTTGGGTTTTAGGGTTTATATCTGGGGATACTTTGTGAGTTTTCTTTGATGTTTTATTGAGTCTTCAAACTCATGGTTTAAAGAGAGTACATCAAAGGTTGTGTTTTGTTCTACAAAAGAGAGAGTTGTTCTTCGGTGGATTCTGAAGAATTCGAGCCTGAAGCTTTGGTGGATTCCGGAGTGGCTCATCGTAAAGACAATTCCGAGGTGAAGACGGGTTGGAAGAGGCACATAGAGGTTGGTTCAATTAGGCCTGGATTCGCTAGGTAATTGAGAGTATACCTGTGTAATTCCTTTTAATCTTCTTAGTGGATTGTTTTGTGGCTGTTGCCCGTGGTTTTTTTATCACAGTTGGAGGTGTCCAATTGTGGTTTTTTCCACGTAAAATCGTTGTGTTTCTTTGTCTTGATTTTTTGATTGGGATTGTTATATTCTGCTTAAAATTGATACATAATCACAAATCAGCATCTATGGGATTTCTAGATTTTTCACATTGTTTGCTGCTCAACTCAGATCAGCTTGTTCTTAATCCTAAATGCAATGATTCAAAGCTCTAGCTCTACTCAAGGAGAACATGAAATACTAAAGAGATACTACTCATACATCAAGCACAACAATAAAAAAATGAACCTAAATGGACTGTGCTTTCCTACACAGTAATATAGAAGAGAAGAGATATCCACCTGCTTTAACACGACTAAGCTGTATTCATCCTTGTAGTATTGAGAATGTGGCGGGTCCAATGTCATAAGATCACTACATAATTCTTTAACTTCTTCAGTATGGACCATCTTGCATGTCTCTGCAGTTTTAGCATGTGACATCAGTGCATCATGTGCAGTCAACAATCTTACACGCATAAGCTTTCCAGTTTTACTACAATAACCAGTGGGAGAAAATAAGAGGACATTGGACAAACAATAAAGCTGCTTTGATGCTGCAAAGCTACTCATGAATGAATTCCACATACCAGTTTATCTCTGACAGCAATTCCCGGTAAAGAGCTATCTCATTAACTATAGTCTCAGCGCTCCACTTAGAAGCTGTTGACTCATTCACCTCACTATTCCTCAGTTGATCGAAAATTTTAATTTGGGTTGGTTCCTGAAGATGTGTTTCACCAGTATGAAAATTTATCTCCCCATGAAATCATCTCTGCACTTCTCATTTCTGCATGTTGCAAACCATGAGGTTGTATTAAAGCTGTAAATTCAAAATGAGTAGGATGGCTATGGTGAAATCCACTCAGAGACACAATTCCCTGAGAATGTCCAAGGCTGACCTTTACTGGATGAGTTTGTAGAGATTGGAGATTCTCCTCGTGAAAAGTTAAATGTGTTACCCAAGCTTGGGAACTCCCAGAGTTGTTTGTTGATTGTGGTGACCAAATTAAATCTTTATTTGTATCATGTACAGATTGCACAATTATTGTAGATGAGCTCACACCTTCAACTGCTTCATTAAAATAAAGAATGAGTGGAATTATCCCACTATTAAGATGGAAACCTGTGACAGGAGACGAAGCACAAGTATCCAGGAAACCATCTGCTGATACATTAAGAAGCCAAAGATGGCCAGGTAGAAACCAACAGAGGATTCTCCACTTTAACTGTTTGCTGAAGAAGCCAAAGATGATAAAACCATCCACTTTGATCATCTGGGTCAGTAAAAAGAGCTTGGTGTACAAGGTCATACTCCTCTGTCAGAACTTTCTCCTTTGAGAAAGATTCTTGAGCCTTTTTCTTCAGTAAATGAGACAGAATTACACTCCATTACATTTATGGTAAGGTAAAGTAGAATAAAAACAAGAAACATGTTTAAGCAAACAGACAGACATCACAAGATAAAACATGCACTCAAAGCAACATGCATGTTTGTGTAGGTTGAAAAAGAAAAACAAAAGGCACGATTGGACAGGAAACTTAATTTTCTAATCCTGCTAGAATAGATAGAATATCAAAAGGTAGCAGGTGTTTCATCATGTAGTTTCCACTATAATATCAATGTGCATAAGAATTGATCATTCGACTCCAAAGCAAAGTTGAAAGTTAATCAAGCTACAATTTTATATAACATTGCATGCCAGATTTACAAACACAGAAAGCTGCTTAAACAGTATTACAAACAGAAAAATGCTGTTGTAGATTAATCTGAAATAAACACCATTCAGTGTGTTTGGTTTGAATTTTCTAGATTAAGTTTTTTGAAAACTGAGTTTTTTGGTTTTCGCATTCTTTTGTTTTTAGTGAATATTTTTTAAATTTTAAACATTTTTTTTTACTTTTTTAGATGCACCTTAGTTAGATATATATCTAAAAAGTAAAAAATTTGTGAAAAAATATTTAAAAAAATTAATAAATACATAGAAATACAAAAAATGTACTGAATTCTTATGTTTTTTTGTGTTTTTGGTATTTAGTAAATTTTTAAAAGATTTTTTTTACAATTTTTTTACTTTTTAGGTGTATTTATGTTAGGTGTGTCTAAAAAGTAAAAAATTGCTTAAAATATTAAAAAAATTCAGTAAAAACAAAAAAAAAACATGAAAAATAAGAAAGTAGAATTTTCTTAAAAGTGTTTTCTGAAAAATGAAAACAAGCAAGCTGATTTGTTTCAGTTTTGGAATCAGTTAGGCTAATGACCATTTAAATAGTGAATAGTGCTTATCAACTTTTGATATAAGGAATAGAACTAATGAATAATTTTTCCCCTGGTGCATGAAAGGAGACAGCACTTTGCAACCTTGCATCACAATATACCATCAATACAAGTTACATGTTTTAAAGTGGATTTTTATATAACATTGCATGCCATCAATATCTTATCAACCTTGCATCACATTACAAGATAACTTCTACCTAGTCTGTCATGCTTTACCTGTTTTGAATGTTTTTATTACATAAACAATAAGTCACATGCTTTAAAGTGGATATTTGAATATTTTGTCTTTAACTAAAATGCCATTAAAAAAAACCCCCTATGTTGCAAAAAAACCACAAAATTTTTTGTATGTTCTATATAACTATGCATACTACCACTAGACATTCTGCTTCCAATGGGACCAAAGCTAGAACTAATTTCAAAGTTCCAACACATTTTTCCTGAAGCAATTTTTGCAAAAGAATCTAAGGATTATACAATTATGGCATGTTTGATTGGGTGGATTAGAATATGGGATTGGGATAATTAATCCGTGGGCCCAATTATCCTATGTTTGTTTTAACATTTTGGTTTAGGATTATTAATCCAATGGATAATTAATCCAACAAATTTGTAGGATTATTAGTAATGGGGTAGGGGTGGGATTATTAATCCAATGGATATTAATCCAATTGGATAATCAATACCACACTAATTTAATAGGATTATTAATACTTCACTATTAGTCTTGTGAATCAAACACGACCTTAAAGAATTATCAGTGATAACTTGATAAGATACATCATAAACATTGTGAAAAACAAATTATAACTGAACCATGAAGCCAGATAAAACAGCATGACTTAGGCACATCTCATTGTAATGCTACAATAACAACAGGCACGAAAAAAACAAAAAACAAAAACAAAAACAAAAAACTTGAGAATCAAACAATGGCACAAAAAAAGCATTTTTCTCCACTAGTCCATTTTAATTATGATGATCCAAATGGTAAAATAACATTGAGATACAAGCGTACCTACGATTATGCCAAGAAGAATAGTTACTGAAGTTTTCGTTTATGAAATCAGTTGTGAAGTGTAGTTCCTCTGCATCTGATCTGTTCTTTAATGCTGCCACAAATCTGAAAATAAAGACCAAATTAGACCATTTGAAATTGCAGTCCTTCAATATATTAAAGTAAATCAAACCCAAATCTTCACCTCCGGTAATTCCACGCATGGAAATTCCTGGAATTTTTCTTCAGGAACACCCCCAGAAGCTGCAATTCCCGATCTACAGATGAATGCCCCTTGCTTAGCACCCATTTACGATGATACCAGGCACCATAAGACCTATAATTCTTTGCCAATGCACGCTCTGTCTGCATATATATTGAGTTCATTCATAAAATTCAAAGTAAATTGAACCCAAACACAATACACAGCATAATTACAATTGGCTGCTGAAAAAACCAAAGAAAAGAAAGCAACATAATATTTCAAAATCACATGGTTTAAAATTTTAAGATTTCAAAAAAAACTTTGCACTGAACGTAATTTAACCAAATAGCCCTATTTGGCACAGTTGACTTGTGTTCAGCTGCATTTCTTTTTCTTTTCCTACAGTTTTTCAGCAACCAAACAGCATCAAATACATGGACAGAAAAAGAAATAGATATATTTTTTCATATGACTGGTTCCAACAAACGTATAACTCTCAGTTCTTCACTGTAAATAGATTTAATGGAGTCTGGATCAATCTCTGTATCAGTCTCAGAATGACTGAGAATGTGTTCAACAGCAAATTTTCTGTAATCCCAAGCTGTGGGATACTCAGGATTGGCCTCGAGAAGCTTCGCATTGACCTCTAGGGCTTCTTTCATGTAACTGAACAATTTGCACGTACAAATACAAGATTGTTCAAAATTATCAGTGTTTATTAGATCATATCATGCTCCGAAATAAATACAATGAATCCATCCCATAAACAATAGTGTAATTGAAACGATACGTTTTCATTAATCAAAGTTTAATATACAAAAGTGACAGATGCGATAAGAGATGAAAGCTACACACGTATCATATGTCTTATTGGCTTACATCTTTCCAAGTCGCTGCTTGGGTACAAAAAAGTTAAGTCATAAGCTCAAAACAAATAAAACCCTAGGCTTGTACAAATAAGAAATACAAAACACAAGCAAAAGAAATAATACCAGCCTTCAGCTCCACAATCCTCCCAAGCTAAGCTCCTGGCGAAGGCATATCACCAACACCTAAAAATAGTGTTTTTCATATAGGGTGAGCCAAAACTCAGTAAAAATAATCCAGTACAACACATGAAACTTAATGAAGATATAAGAGTAATCTGCAATTACAATGCCATTGATAAGCCGTTTCATAAATTCTTCGCAAAACATGCAACACCAACAGTATTAATACACTTCATGACAACAGTCCATTTTATTCAAATGACCCAAACTGAGAATACAATTCAATAAGTCTTTTTCTAGAATAATCATCATACATTCACTGTTATTTGCCATTTTACGAACATTTTGTCCATGGGAATCGGCACCCATGTATAATCATGATTTTTGGGACTTTCACACAGGACGCTCCGGCCAACTTAATTCAATGGAGTACATCCCCTATCTTCTCCCGAACATGGAGCACATCCCCCATCTCCTCCCAAACATCATACATATACAATGTATGTAAATACATAATCATACATAGAGTACATCCCCTATCTCTTCTCAAACATCATACATATACAATGTATTTAAAGACATAGTCGTATTCAATGACAACAGATGAGAAATTAGTTTCAATTCACCTAATCCTCATGCAATTTCTACAACAATCATAGCTACCCTCCACCGATAGCCCAAAACATATATATCTAAACATATATTCAATCTCAAGACAGATAATTTATTCAAAATTTCATAAGTGAGTGATAATACATATTCCTCTCCACCATTCATGTCAATGTCCATTCAATTTCACATTTTCAATACCAATTTCACTTATTAATCCAAGATAAATATTTGAAATGTTTTAGGGCAAAATCCCTCTTTCCCAAATATCAATCCCGAATACCAAAATCAACTATTTTGCCATAATATAACCTCATATTCATCCCCATAGCCATTTATAATTCATACACTTAGAAACCCCTCTTTTGATTTTAAACTAAAACCTTAGGTTTGTTCAAAATCCATAAAAAATCACAATAATGTTTATACAAAACAAATAACTAAGTTAAAAGTCATATAGGAGTATAAAGAATCCCTACCTCAAAGTTAGAAGACGAGCAAAGCAAATGAGAACTTCAAAGACATCAAAACCTACTTTTGTTCGGATGAAAAGAGAGCTCACGACATGCTCTACCTTTTTCTCAAAGGCACTAGGGTGAAGAACCCACTGGATCTAGGTGAAAATCTAGAGAGAAGGGAGTTTTAGAGAGAGGGGCTCTCAGATCTAGAGAGAAGGGAGTTTTAGGGTTTATGGAAGAAAAGAGATGAAAAAGTGATGAAGAAGGATGTTGTCGCGAACTGATATACACACGGTCTGCTCGAGTGTGAAAAGTGACACTCAAGCGTTAGACACATTGTTCCGCTCGAGCGTAGAATACACACTTTTAGAAGTTTTGCTGACGAAGGACATCGCTCGTGCTCAAGATTAGCAACTCGAGCGTAGAATACACTCTTCCAGTATTTGCAGGTATGCAAAAACACTGAGAGTTTGCGAAGCCTGTTCGAGCGCAAGAATGGCCGCTCAAACGGAGGAGCAAAAATCTGGGCAATAAAAGTTTGGAAAATCAAGCAAGCAACCTGTTCCAAACACATAGCTACAACAATCTCAAAGCCAAATTCAAGGAGATATAAGGGGAAACAAGATATGACTAACACTGTAAGACCAATAAACTCGAGTCTAGAATGCAAGATGGATCGGGTCAAAATCGGAATCGCTATAGATCACATCAGTGCCGGCTTAAGCATAAGGCAAGTAAAGCATGTGCTAGGACTCAAAATTGTGCAAAGGCCCCAAAATTTTGGGAAATTTCTCAAAGGCCTCAAAATTTCCAATATGCCAAAAAACCTATTTATGTTTTTTTTTTTTTAAAAAAAAAAAAAGGCCATCCAAGGAATCAAATATAATCATTTTCTCATATTAAGATTATTATTATTATTATTATTATTTTTAAGTACAGAAAAAAGACAAATTCTACTTTACTATTTTATATGTTTTTGACTAATCTTATTTAGAATCAATACGTAGTTTCTTGTGGTTTTAAACTAAAATGCACCATTTGACATTCCGTCCAAATTAGCAGTAAGTGTGAAACACTTGCCTCATGAGAGTATTTAGCGGGATTTACCTTAATTCACTAACTGTGAAATAAGGAAATAATGCATGCAATCGCATGCCTCACCGATCGTATCATTTTCACACGAATCAGGGATATAGGAGTAATCATTATTTACATGATTACAATACAGTCAATTGTCCTGTAAGGACATTAAAGAGGCCTATAAGACCTCAACCGTGGTGGGCCTTTGCGTTAAGAGAAAAGCCATTCCACTTCTTTTTTAAAGCTTCATGAAAGCAATATTCGCTTGGGGTAGGTTCAACCTGTTTGTTACCGGCATTTTGTGCTTAACACATACCACACTCAAAAGCGACAGCGGCTCCATACTCCATATTTCCCTTCCCTGACAGAAATCAAATTCTTTACACATTTTTTTGTCAATGACAGAATGGAGGAGGTGAGTAAGCAAAATAGAGAGGCAACCTTGGTGGGGAGGGTAGAGTAATGATGATGTTACATCATTACTATATAATGTAAATGTCCTATAAGGACATTAAAGAGGCCTATAAAGATAGTTATAGGTTACTAGATAGTGCATTTTAGTCCCCAAACCATAAGGGTTTGTATGTTTATTTTCAAATGCTAAGAGGTAAACCACACCTAAAGAACAAGTGAAATTTGACTTAAAAAATTCATTAACGACCTCATAAATCTAATATTGATGAAGAAAAGAGTGTCAGTTCTATAGTTTTTTTTTTATATTAAACAAAATTTGTAATTAATTTACAAATTTATGTTTTAATTAGGTCTCATATAATATATTTAATGGTAAAAATTAAATAGAATGTAACAAAAATGTTGTATTGAACTAATTTGAAAAGTTAGAAGTTTTAATTGAACAAAAGTTTAGCTTAGAACCTAATGAAAGAAGAGAATAAAAACCAGGTTAAAAGCCAACTTTTTGACTTTTTGGCTTTTTTAAGTCACATCACCTCTCTACTTTTTTTGTACGTATTTTTTTTTTTTAAAAAAAAGAAACGAAAAAAATTGAATAATCTACTTCCCAAAAGTTTAAGGATTTTAGCATAATTTATTCACACAATTTATTTATTTATTTAAAAAACTAAATATCAAAGGCCTCGTTTAAATTGTTTCTTTAGGCCTCAAAGTTTCTTAAGCCACATAGTTCAATCGAGTACAATACGAATAAATAATTTTACATCATGTATAAAATTTGAACAGGTTACTGAACAATTTACACAATTGACAATTTTGACAATACAAATGGAAGATTGTACAAAATGATCAGCGTTGAGATCACAGAGTTCAAAACAACGCAATTCGAATACATAATTTTACACTTGTGTGTCAAATTTGAACAATACACAATTCACAACACAAATTGAAGATTGCTCAAACTTAACAGCGTTTAGATCACAGAGTTCAGTACAATACAATACAATGCGAAGCATACATACAGACGAAGATATATATATATATATAGAGAGAGAGGAATCACATTTTGTTGTGATGAAAATGGAGGAAGTGAGATTGTGTCACACCCCAAACTCGCCCCTAAAAATTTGGGCATGACCAACTCGTAACGGACTCAAAATTCTCTAATTATATCATATGGGGCCAGAACGGAAGCTATTAATAATGTAAGGAAATAACATCCATTGAGCTAATACTTATATGCTAGGATCACAAACATTTCACCAAAGCCCAACCCAATAAGAACATACAAATGAGAGACCATTATACACATCCATATATACAGTCCCATCCCCTCAACTGGGGGTATAACAAAAGCCTTGATAAGAGGAGATTATACATATTGAACGACACTAGACAAAAGACTCAGTGCATAAAGCTAAAAGCTCTGTAAGAACTTCCACAAAAGTGAGTGAGCTTCATCTATGTGCTTAGACACAGTGAAGTTGACAAAAGAGAAGCGCCAAAGCTAGACTAAAACTGACCACCGGGTTGATTACCTACAAAGACAGACATAACACGGGGTAAGCATGGCTCAGTGAATCATAGTACTTAAAGAGTTCAAGTGAATAAACTCGGATTACAACGTATATAAGCACATAAGTCGCATATTTGACCTTTTTCAGAAAACATTTCCAAAATGGCCTTAGGCCCAATATTCATACAGAACGGCCTCGGACCCACATATCATACAGAACAGCCTTAGGTCCACATATCAACAGCTGTTTACACATTGGAGGGTAGGTAGAACATCAACATGTACGCTACTTCCCTTGGCCGTAGGCCTCGAAACACAATCAATCCGAATTAGAGTAGGGTCGATGAGACATTGGTATGTCATCACCTCCCTCAATTCCAGAATGGTCCACATTCAGTGGCTGATAACTAAACGGCCTCGGGCCCGTCGTTAACAAAGCAGAATAATCTCAAGTTCTTATGTATTTCATCGTGCAACAACGCACATAAGTTTCCACTTGGTTAACATGAAATGACATAATTAACTTACAGAGAATAGAACGTTAATAAGGCTATTAACAATAGACGAAGTATGTGATTACAGTACTATTACTCACAGTG